GTCTACACTATCACTGACACGGGTAGGGACAGTCTACACTACTATCACTGACATGTATAGGGACGGTCTATACTACTATCAATGACATGTGTAGGGACAGTCTACACTATCACTGACATGTGTAGGGACAGTCTACACTATCACTGACATGTATAGGGACGGTCTATTCTACCAACATAGACATGTGTAGGGACAGTCTATACTGCTATCACTGACATGTATAGGGACGGTCTATTCTACTAACATAGACATGTGTAGGGACAGTCTACACTACTATCACTTTCATGTATAGCGGCAGTCTACACTATTATCACGAACATGTTTAGGGACAGTCTACACTACTATCACTGACATGTATAGGGGCAGTCTACACTATTATCACGAACATGTTTAGGGACTGTCTACACTACTCTCACTGACATGTGTAGGGACAGTCTACACTACTATCACTGACATGTTTAGGGACAGTCAACACTATTTTCACTGACATATGTAGGGACAGTGTGCACTACTACCACTGACATGTGTAAGACAGTCTATACTACTATCACTGATATGTACAGGGACAGTCTACACTACTATCACTGATATGTATAGGGACGGTCTACACTATCACTGACACGGGTAGGGACAGTCTACACTACTATCACTGACATGTATAGGGACGGTCTATACTACTATCACTGACATGTGTAGGGACAGTGTGCACTACTACCACTGACATGTGTAAGACAGTCTATACTACTATCACTGATATGTACAGGGACAGTCTACACTACTATCACTGACATGTATAGGGACGGTCTACACTATCACTGACACGGGTAGGGACAGTCTACACTACTATCACTGACATGTATAGGGACGGTCTATACTACTATCACTGACATGTGTAGGGACAGTCTACACTATCACTGACATGTGTAGGGACAGTGTGCACTACCACCAATGACATGTGTAAGACAGTCTATACTACTATCACTGATATGTACAGGGACAGTCTACACTACTATCACTGACATGTATAGGGACGGTCTACACTATCACTGACACGGGTAGGGACAGTCTACACTACTATCACTGACATGTGTAGGGACAGTCTACACTATCACTGACATGTGTAGGGACGGTCTACACTACTATCATTGACATGTGTAGGGACAGTCTACACTATCACTGATATGTGTAGGGACAGTCTACACTACTATCACTGACATGTATATGGACAGTCTACACTATCACTGACACGGGTAGGGACAGTCTACACTACTATCACTGACATGTGTAGGGACAGTCTACACTATCACTGACATGTGTAGGGACGGTCTACACTACTATCATTGACATGTGTAGGGACAGTCTACACTATCACTGATATGTGTAGGGACAGTCTACACTACTATCACTGACATGTATATGGACAGTCTACACTATCACTGACACGGGTAGGGACAGTCTACACTACTACCACTGACATGTATAGGGACGGTCTATACTACTATCACTGACATGTGTAGGGACAGTCTACACTATCACCGACATGTGTAGGGACAGTCTACACTATCACTGACATGTATAGGGACAGTCTATTCTACCAACATAGACATGTGTAGGGACAGTCTATACTGCTATCACTGACATGTATAGGGACGGTCTATTCTACTAACATAGACATGTGTAGGGACATTCTAAACTACTATCACTGAATATTTCCTTTCTAGTCTTGTCTTCATTCCGTTGTTGCGACAGATTTCCTTTCTATGGGAGTGTCATTGTTTGGTTACGTGAGATTTCCTTTCTAAGAACGCCTCCATTCTGTGGTTACGCGAGATTTTCCGTCTAGGCACGCTTTCAATCTGTGGTTACGAGAGATTTTACAACATGCGAAATCAAGAGTAGGAGATTGACAAAACTTAAGAGAAAGTTTGAGTGACACTATTATGATTTAGGGTAATATTCCTTAAAGATATGAGCTGAGTCCATATTGGTGTGTTTGTTGTGGATTTCTTTATTGATAACGTTGTTAACGTTTGAAAACGCGTCACTCAGATTGACCAAAGTGGACATACCGGGTTAAGCAAATGTAAATGTAACATAGATAAGGACAAGGGGAGATAACTCTCAGGTTCACATCGAATCCGGAAGGTATCGACGAGGAGAAGGAAGACAACTTCCAGATTCAAGGTAAACTATCAAAATGTCGATGAGCACGAGAGGCTCATAAATTCAATGAAGACTAGGGGAGATAACTCCCAGAGTCAGTGTAATTTCATATGTTATCAATGAGGAAGACGGAGGATAACTTCCAGATTCACGGCAAACTATTATAAAGTCGATGAGGATGAGGGAAGATAACTCCTATATTCACTGAAAACTCTTATATTTCTTATGAGGACGAGGCGAGATTCGCCGTAATTGCATATGTTATCGATGAGGAGGAGAGATGAATTCCATATTCATTGTAATCTCATGTTAACGATGAGGACGTGGGCAGACCACTCCCAGTTTTATTGTGATTTTTTTCACTTTAATCTCTTATGATATCGATGCGGACGAGGAGAGATAACTGGCCCCTGGTTCAATGTAAACTCTATCATTATTTATGTGTCACCGAGCTTTGATTCCGTTACTTTGAAACTACAATATTCACAACATTCTCTAGAAATGTTATTTGTGACCTATTAAAAAAAGCTGAAGATTTTAGAGAAACGTGTTGATGACCTTTGACCTTTGGCGAACAAAATCTTTGCATCATTTTCTACAACTTTCAAACTTAAGTTAATAGTTTTCAAACGAACCGAGAATGTCATTGCTGTTTCGTATTTTGGCTTCGTCCAAAAATTCCTCCTTCCCTGGAGGCTTAAAGGTACACCAAGAGACCACAAAATTGGGTATTTTGTTGGAGCAGCTCTTTGACGTCATATTCATATTGATTATTTAATAAAGACTCGTGTTGGGTTCAATTATTTTTTACTGGCTGGTAACGTATTATTAAATGAAATAGAAACAAGTTCATTTCAGTAATAATTACCATAACTTTGGAATGCAAATATGGTACCTACACCCATCTTTGTTCATTGTATCAGTTTCATGCATTTAAGTAATTATTAAACAGTTTAATAGAAAATGAAAAGGTATTAAGTAAATCTGTAGTTTTTATGTTCCAATCATTCGCAACTTAAAAAATAACCTTTCTAGTCCTTGTTAATTACTTTTTATAATACGTAGTTTCTTATCAAACGTAGACCGGAAATATCGGGTAAAATCCTATTTGCATATTTTGATAACTCATTTAAATATCTTGTCAAAATTATATTAAGTGACGTTATAAAAGTCCCCTTTTTAGACAAAGACTCGCCCATCGTCCTACCTTATGTGTATTTCCCATAATGGTTTCATGAAATCGTCTATGTGGGTGTAGTGTCATTAGCATACACGGTGCTGTTTTATTTAAAATTCAATGTAACAAACAAAACCAACCTATCGAGAAATATTCATGTTTAAAAAGACCAACTACGTAGCAATATTTTCGCAAAAAATAAAATAAAAAAGAAACACCTGAAAAATGGTAAGATTTTGAAGCTAATAGGTTATGATGTAGTGGATCTGTTTTACATACGTTCAATATACGTTACACAATACACATCTATAAATAATTAAACGCAATCAGTTAAACGGATGGGAAAACCAAATCTGATTTTCACAATTTACAAAATGTAACACCCGACATTACTTCGCTGTCTGATTTCGTTAGTATTCCTAAATATGTGTATTTTGAAGTGACTGGATTTGAAACACCGTATTTAAGATTTTTCTTATTTTATATATAGAATACAAAAGCATGATTTCAGCACGTCTTCAAAACGAAGCAAAGTGTGATATTCCTGGCAAGCCTGTGTTGTCACATGAACAAAACTCCCGAAAATAATGTTCTGCTTATCCCTCTATTCCTAATCGCTTTTTAGAATGCGTACACGCCAAGTCCGTTTCGGTCTGCTGAGTTTCGATACACTCTTGTGATTCCTTGTACAAGGAGGTTAAGTTGCCTTTATTCTAAGGTATTTATCTATTAATTTCCTGTATTTTATGGTGTTAATCTATATGCGTGATTCTAACAAAGTGTTTTAATCCATTTATTCAACTTTCACTTAATTAGTTTAAATTGTATCCTGTCGATATGTTGTATGATCTAGGGACTCTAAGTATGAATGTCAGGGTTATGTTATTCACAATGGTTTAAATAGACATATTTGATATAACCCCTAGAAATTGGCGATCAGGACTGTATTTATTTTCGGCTAACAACGTAGTTTTCTCAAATGGAAGAAGACAATAAAACGTGATCAGCTTTGATTAAATTCTATAAATTACAAACCCTCCCTCCCCCTCCCCATAAAAAATGGGGTTTCGATCCAGGGGCATTTGCAGTCGAAAGCGGATAACTTACCACTGTTCTACCACCACGAGACATAGAATAAAGTGAAAAATCTGAAGTCTTATTTATTCCCGCCAAATACTGAACACATTCTGTTTTTGTATTTGTTTACATAAAAAGATATAATTGTCGTGTCTTGACCCAAAAAGGTTTTTCACAGAACATATCACACATCATGGCGGTACAAACTACTTTTTTTATTATAGCGCTGGGCGGGACTATTTTCAGGAGCCGGACAAGGAAATTCTGGATTTACATGCATGATATAGTAAAATACATCACATCTCTCCCTTACCAATTTTGAATTGATTTAACCATGTCCATTAAAATCAGTTCTTGCAAAATAAACTAATTAAATTCACCGATATTTTTAGTTTAGATATATGCCAAATTATGGTACAGGTACTTTTGGATTGAAAACTGCGTTTTGTATGAACTTTAACATAATAACAAAACTAGTGTAACATATATAATTCACTAACAGTAGTAGCACCGTGAATACTTAAAAGTTGACTGATAAAGCATCTGCCTGATACTTAATTACAAATAAATCTTTTCCGCGATTTCACCATACACCCATTTTTGTGTCTCTATAATCACGGACAGCTACCTTTTCTCCCACGGAGAATGACCTGCAGAGAACTCGTCGTTTCGACTCTTGTTTCCATTGTTGTTCATTAACGCGTCGTCGGACATCTGGTTTGATCAAATCCAGCCGTGACGGTAAGTTGCGTCCCATGAAGAGTTTTGCCGGGCTCTCATTTGTAGTCATATGTTTGCTGTTCCTATATGCCAATAGGAAGTTAGCCAAGCGTTTCTGGATCGACCCAGAGTCTTTACTTGCTTTCATTGCGCTTTTGAAAGATTGGACAAAGCGCTCCGCCAGACCGTTCGTACTCGGATGGTACGGGGCGGATGTTGTGTGTTTAATCCCGTTAGACTTCATAAAATTGGCAAAATGTTCAGATTTGAACTGTGGGCCGTTATCACTCACAACCTGAGCTGGAACTCCATTCCTGCAGAATATTTCTCTCAGAACCTCTACAGTTCGCTCTGCCATTGTCAAAGTCATAGCAACCACTTCCGGCCACTTTGAATGAGCATCTACAGCTACGAAAAACATCCTGTCGAGAAATGGTCCCGCAAAGTCGATGTGAATGCATTGCCATGGAATGGATGGCCATTCCCAAGGATGGATAGGTGCGGCTGGCGGTGAATTCTTGATGTCTTGGCATCCTACACAAGACTTACAAACATGCTTGATGTCAGCATCAATGCCAGGCCACCAAACGTAGCTTCTGGCGAGGCTCTTCATCTTAACCACGCCCAAATGTCCTTCATGTAGTTCGTCTAACACTCTCCTTCTAAGCGCCTCGGGGATAATAACACGTATTCCCCAGAACAAACAATGCTGATGAATGCTTAATTCAGAACGTTTATTGTAGAAAACATCGAGGCATTTTTGTCTTCACCCTCGGTCCACCCTTGTTGTACGGTGGTGTACACCCTTGATAAGGTTTGGTCCTTCAACGTTGCATGTGCGATTTCCTTACTGGTCACAGGGAGAGTGTTCATGTAAGACACCATAAAGGCATCAACAGTATCTTCTTCCAGTACTGGCCTTATGTCTAGGGGTAGACGCGATAATCCATCGGCGTTTGCATGTTTTGCTGTACTTTTGTACTTGATGTCGTATTGGAAGCCTGCTAAATACAGTGCGTAACGCTGGAGTCTTGCCGCGGTTGTCACTGGAATACCTTTCTCTGTGTGAAAGATCGATGTCAGGGGCTGATGATCCGTCAGTAAAATGATACGACGCCCATATAAATATTGGTAAAATTTCTTCACACCCCAGACAATTGCAAGCGCTTCCTTGTCAATCTGCGCATAGTTGCATTCAGATTTTGAGAGCGAGCGTGACGCGAAGGCTATCGGCCTCTCGGATCCGTCTTCCATTACATGCGATAATACCGCGCCTATGCCGTATGGAGATGCGTCTGTTGCCAATTGCACTTTCTTGCCTGGATCAAAATGAGTCAGTACTTGTTCCGATGCCACAGCTTCCTTTACGCGCTGAAATGCAGTATCGCACTCTGCCGACCACCCCCACTTCCGGTTTGCCTCCAGAAGCGGGTTCAATGGGTTTACTATTGATGACAAGTTTTTAATGAACTTAGCGTAGTAATTCACTAGTCCCAGAAATGATCCGAGTTGGTTGACGTTTTCTGGGCGCGGTGCATTAACAACAGCTTCCACCTTGCTTGGCATCTTGTGTAGTCCATCTTTGTCAATGGTGTGCCCACAAAATTCGATCGAGTCTTTGAAAAACTCACACTTTACCTTGTTAACGCGCAAGCCGAAACGGTCTAAACGCTCAAGTACTGTTTCTAGATTTGCCAAATGATCTTCGTCGGTCGTGCCTGTAACGATCATGTCATCCAGGATACACTGCACGCGTGGAATGCCTTGAAGAACTTGGTCAATGGATCTCTGCCAAATAGCTGGCGCCGACGCAATTCCAAATACCAACCGATTGTACTGAAATAACCCACGATGTGTGTTGATTGCCAGGTAATGTCGGTCCTCTTCGCGTACAACCATTTGCAGATAAACATTCCTGAGATCAATCTTCGTGAAATGTTGGCCTCCAGCAAGTGTCGCGAAAATGTCGTCAATCTTGGGCAGTGGGTACTGGTCTACATCCAGAACCGGATTTATTGTGACCTTGAAATCCCACATATGTGGATGCTTCCATCCCGCTTTGGTATGGGAACAATGGGGGTTGCCCATTCGGAATGTTGAACTTGGGTCAATATGCCAGCGCTCACTAGGGGGTCTAGTTCTGCCTCGACCCCTCTTTCATCGCAAAGGGTACGGTCCGTGGTTTACAGAATTTTGGATTGGCTCCCTCCTTAACCTTGATCCTGGCAGTGATGTTTCTTAGAGTGCCTAATTCATACTTAAATACGCTTGGAAATTTCTTAAGTTGCTGAGCCACACTCAGAGGGGGTTTCGAACCACTGGCCACTGCGACAGACATTATCTCGTGCCAATCCAAATTTATCTCGCGCAACCAGTCTTTACCGAATAAGGGTGGTCCTCCATGTTTCACTACATACATGTCCAGACACTTATGCTGATTATTTAGATCAACTTCCACTGTACATATTCCAAGTGGACTCAACTTCTCACCACCATAAGTTGTAAGAATAACTGAGGTGTCCTTGAGGTCCTGCTTTCTCTTGGGAAGGTACTTGTCAAATGCAGATTTGCTGATGACGGACACTGCTGACCCAGTGTCTAACTCCATTGCAAGTTCCACCTGGTCTATCTTTGGGTATAACCAGATGACATCTGAGCCACCCGATCTGTCAGAAATGTTAACTATTTCCAGTGAACTGATAAGTTCGGACTCAGACCCACTATCATCTCGCACTTTGTGTACAGGAGCACTTCTATTTCTAGGCTTACCAGACCTGCAAGCCTTCTTGATATGTCCCTTTTTATTACACGCGTGACAAATCGCGTCCTTGAAGTGACAATCATCTGCTTTGTGTGCACCCTTACAACGGTAACACTCTGTCCCATTATTTTTATGAACAAATGGTTTCCGTGCAGTCTGTGGCTTACTTTTTTATTTTATGAACAGGGACCTTCACGTGCTGTTTCTGTAGCTCTACCGCATCCCTTGTTCCTGTTTCCATGGCGATAGCAACCTCTAACGCCTTCTGGTATGTTAAATCAGACTCGGTTAACAACTTTTTTTGTATGTGTTCTGCCTTCAGTCCACAAACTAACCGGTCCCTCAGAGCATCATTGAGGTTATCCCCAAACGCACAAGTTTTCTCAGGGCTGCGTTGTAATCCCTAATATTCTCCCCATCCCGCTGGTCCCGTTTGTGAAATCTGAACCTTTCTGCTATCACTAGCGGTTTTGGAGAATAATGTTCTTGTAATACCTTGGTCAACACGGCGTATGTTTTGGTGGCTGGGAGCTCAGGGGCGGTCAAATCACGCAACAACCCATATGTCCTTAAGCTGAGGAGCGCTGGGACTTTTTTGTCTCCTTCAATAGAGTTTACAATGAAATATTGGTCTAGCCGCTCCTTATATGCATCCCACCTTTCAATACCCTCGTCAAAAGTGTCACTTCTTCCCACTTTACCTGCCATACTGGTGTAATTTAATGTTGGGGAAATTCACAAAATCCCGCACCGACACGTGGTCCGACAAATGAAATCTACCTCAAACAGAAAATACCTTAAACCAGAGGTATCCGGCAATAATGGAATGTCTGTACTCAGCGGTAACTTCGCTCACACATTTCCTGAACGATTTCCGCCATCCTCGTCGCCAATTTGTCGTGTCTTGACCCAAAACGGTTTTTCACAGAACATATCACACATCATGGCGGTACAAACTACTTTTTTTATTATTGCGCTGGGCGGGACTATTTTCAGGAGCCGGACAAGGAAATTCTGGATTTACATGCATGATATAGTAAAATACATCACAATAATACTCCTATTTTATCAAACCATGTTACTCACGTCTCACACACAAACACACACGAAATAGTATACATTACACAAGTCTGATCTTTTATAAGGGTATCGAAGTATGTATTCGTTTGTTTTTAAAGATAACTCTATTGCAGTATAAAACAACGCTTTCAGTATGTGTTTACATTTTTCGTGATTTACGTATAATCGTTACAAAAGCCATGAATTATTTTTGGACCACGCATTATATAAAATGTCCACTCAGTTAACTGTTTTCAAGACAATTGGTTCAATTATTTTTATCGCCATCATCATCATCATCATCATCATCATCATCATCACATCGCAATGGTCAAAGTAAGTGCCGATGAATTCACAATATCTAATCTTTGTGAAATAACAAATATGTGATGCATATTCCAAATATTCAGTTACATGTACATAATTTCAGTTTCATCTTTGTAACTCTTACTTTTTTAATAAAAATTGATGTTTGAACTCTTTATTTTGTAACATTTACAGCATATCTAGCATTCACATCAATCACAATAAAGATATATTTCTGTCGTTTTGTCCTCAGTTTTACAATAATTTGTATTTCACTGTATGTTATCGATCTGGACGAAGGGAGATAACTCCCAGACTCATTGTTAACTCTATATTCTGTAAACGGAATATGGACTCATCAAGTCCCCAGGCAGCGGCTTTTCGCCTACATCTATGAGGACTTGCCCTTAGTGGTCTGGAATATTTTCAATATCAATATATGATTTCAAAAGGAATATTGGTGCCAGTATATCCCCATCGTAGTGGCAGAGAGCCACATTCCAGAAAAAAATGGATACAACTGTCCTAGGTTTTCTCCGTCTGTGGCGAAATTCGTGGTTGTGATGTTACTTTTGTTCTGACGCATCACTCAAGAATTCTAGGGAGTGCTGTAGATACAATATCTTTACACCGTGGACGCTACAAGCAACCTCACTTGGCCGAATATTTTCTAGATTTTACAGACAAATAACAAAAGGGAAACTTGACGATGATGCTTTGTATTTTGCTGTTCATTATCATTATTACAAGATGACTGATAAATTCTGGCTAAGTGTCGCAAATGACACATTTTTCGGCAAGATCACGATAGAGTACGAAGATTTATCAACAAAACAAATACGAAGTTCAAAAACAATCCAAGAAATAAATGAATTATTTGGTATTCTTCAGTTTGACAGTAAAAAAATGCAATAGATTCGAGGAAAAAGTCGGTAGATAAAAATGAAACAAAATGATAACAACAAACGAATATGAAGTGTCCCATATAAGCTTCGAACCCTCAGCAATAACAAAGTTTATTGTTTAAAACTATACAGCTGAGGTTCCGTACTCGCTACTTAAGGAAAAAGTAACCGATAAATTTCTGGAGTAACTTCCGAGTCGTTTAAAAGCTTTGCATTACTGATTCTTTCAAATCGCGCATATGATCTAGTGCATGGTGTAGGATTTTACAGTAGACATTGAAATTTAATAGCGAATATTTCGGCAAGTAAACCTTGTACAAAGTCCTCGAGTGGTCAGATCATCTAATTTTGTCAATAAGTGCCCGGATCAGGTGGTGTTTAGTCGCTAAGATCATTAACATGAAAAAGTATTTTGATATAATTAATTATTAGTTACTAAAACGAATTATAAATCAGACGCAAAGACTGACCTTTTCAGATCTTCGGGTACCAGCATGGCTACCAAGGAGCGTCGTGGAACATACAGTGCCGTATCAAAGTCTGTCACCTTCTGTTGATTTACTGTATATTCTTTGTATATCTAACTTTTTATCAATTGATTTTCCTGACTTCGTTCATGGATCGTATCCTGTTTCATCTCATATTATTTCCATTGTTTCCATTGTGTATTACCAAGGAAATAAAAAATTATTTGCAACATGCGATTTTCGGGATGCCGTTTTGATGTCATTTTGGTAAGCGTACATAGGAAAATGATGTCACATGGAAATTAGCAGTTTAGATGATTTTGTATCACTCGTTGAATAAAAATGGAACATTAAATGCATATTCTGAGAAGAAGATCTGGATATTGGTGTATAAGATGACTAAATATTGTCAAATCCTTTGCTAAATTTTATCAAGAAAATTCAAGGAAAGAAGTTAGAAATATGATGAAGATATAAATAAAATAGAAAAGAAAAGAAAAAAACAAGGAAAACGTGAAAGAAGAAACGATGCATTTGTAAGTGATCATGACATCTAATTAAACCAAGACAAGTCTTTACATTATGTTAGATTTTCAGCTTATATGACGCAATGACAGCTGTAATTTACGGAAGCCTGCTAGCGTCGCCAGTGAAATATTTTGTGTGGTGCCCGTCACTTATTTCTCTGGTGGCTGCCACAACATTATCCGGCTGTGGCACATACTTATCTATCGGCTGAAACACAACATAATTATCTAACGGTCGCCACTTCACTTGCTATTAGCCATCACATGATTATCTTGCGGTCCCCAGATAATTATGTGTCGGCCGCCAGATATATATTACGTTATTTTCCTGTCGATATTCGGCAACTATAATGCAAGCGCATATTGCCATGGATCAGCCAGAACGCATGCTTATTTCCATACCTTTCAAACATTTAATTGATTGTTCACTCATCGTCAATTCTTGTGATGTGTCGATAAAAAGGCGTTGAGTCACTTAAACAAAGTATTGCACACGTAAAAAAGTCTGTTTACCTTGATTATATTGGCGGATTTGCATATAATGTTATGCGTTAAAAAACATTTTTTATTGTCTTGTCAATAGCACAGTGTGTAGTGATTGGTTGGTTCCTGCAGCTGACGTAGCAGATGTACTGTAAACATGTAAAACGTAAACGTGGGGACACGGAAAAATCTGAAACGTGCACGTGTTGAATAATACGGAAAGGCTCGACAAAAGACAAATTGTTTTCATAAAATTGTATCATGAATATAAACTATTTAAAACGTGAACTTTCTAGAAATATTGATTATTATAAGGCGTCTGCTGAAAAAATACCATAAATACATTTTAGGTACTTCATTAGTAATTTGGAAACTGTCAGTCATATTATTGAAACTTGTTAAGAGGCTGGTATGCCTATTGCAAAATTTCGAAATTTTGAGTAATTGAAATAATAAATCTTTGGTAAATAAAATCCGAAAGTTCTGACAGCGATAGTGTTGTGATCATGTCACCTGTCAAATGTGTGTTGATTCCGACTGTACGCATTAATTACTTATACTTTACCATAAAAATATAAATTATTCCAATAAAAAGAATTACGCTTGAAAAATGAAAATTACACAAAAACTGTAAAACTTCCCCAACATGTGTTTATTGACGACTTACTCCAGGTCAGTGGTATCGAGATACACGTATATAACCTATATCACGTGTGCAAATAACTTCTTGAGAGGTGACAGGTGACATCCTTATTGTAATTATCCTTAACCTGCGGTCATTGCTTCCAGATGTACATGCACCAGGTCCTCCGTTACGTAATAGCTATACAGGTAAGTCACCCGCCATGTAAACCTTGGTCAATCCAAGTAAGTAATGCCACGTTCTCAAATGAGAACAAGGTATACAACAACGAAACCAACAGGCAAACTAACGAGCATCAAACACGTCCAGCTTCACATCACACAAAGAATTAGAATATTTGTCAATAACGTCACTTATTTAATTATCATTCGAAAGTGCAATATGCATACATCAGAGGATGGGCATCTGGATGCACCAGTACTTAAAAAATTCGTTTTATTTTCTTTTGGAGTTGAGAGTTGGCATAAAATCTCCATATCATATATATATATATATACACACAAACACAAACACATACATACATATATATTTAATACTAATTGATGTAGTGATGGACAGCTTTGGAATTCTACATGAGGATTTGGTCCTTTCCGGTAAAAAATATGTTTATGTGTATTTTATCAACTTTTGCTAAACATTCATGACAGATATTGCTGTTAAGAAATTAATACAATATCCTTTTTATCACCCACGCGAACCAGTATCTAATATTTCTGTGCTTTCTGAAGCTGTCCTACTTGTGTGAAGGGAAGTAACTCGTCCAATCTTATAAATATAGATTTCTTTTTTTCACTAAAGCGGGGTAACTCTACTTACTTTATGGCACGAGATAAATTATGTAATTCGATAAATTATATGATATATAGTTAAAATTCCAGTGATCAGTGATACATAATGGTATCAATACACTCCTGTTCAAGCCAAAACCCAAGCACCACATCATGATATATCGGGAAGTACAATACCTGACATTATATGTTTCCCAAGCTGTGTTTCATTTGAAGCAATTTTATTCTGACGTGAATATAATTTTGCTTTTAGAAAAAGAACTGTGTCAATTGTGTGTTAAGTGTTATCACCTAACACCCGACCATGAGTCAATGTTTTAGATCTAAACAACACAAATATACGTGATATTTTACCTATAACGATTTCGCAACTACCATCCCACACGTTTTCACTGACTTGTCTGTGACTCAGTCAACACAAGACTGACACCACATTTCGAGTGACAGGTTATTTATACCATACCAAATATAGACAACTCATTTGCATGACATTAATTCCATAAGGGGATGGATTACGTGTACTTTCAGCCAATCACCTTATTCGATACGTACAACTCTCATTGCTTGTACGGTCAATGAACATTCCGAGGATTTTTCTTCTTGAAACGAGGAATATGATTGGTTAGTACAGTATATCTTATGCCCTGTAAACAACATATCCTGCAAGCGTGTGTTCGACCCTGTTTCCCGAAACTGAAATCGCTATCTTGCCTGAATGAAGAAGGTTTTTGACGTGAATCGTTTGGATGTTTTGCAGCAGTGTTTGACCAACGTGCGTGACACCGCTAAATAGTGTCCGTCAGCACGACGATAGAGACCTAGGCAGAACACATAATATTGCAAACATGGACGTTTTACCTAGTGGAAATATATTTCGGGAATTACAAGTGGTCCATGATACCGGGTACTTCTCGGCTCAACCTTCTCTGGAGGACCGATGGCAACAGGTATGTCCATCATATAAAACTCGTTAACAATTTAGTAACTAATAGGATGTTGATGGTGTCGTCTTTTATGCATATTATCACAAATACATAACTTAGTTTAAACAGAGGCCGATACGTGAAGAGTTCCCCCTGGCTCACCCAATAAATAGACTAATAAAGCCTTGACATCTGTCAAATACCCAACAAATTTATTTACATGCCCAAGGCAGTCTGTAACACATATGTAGAGCTCGTGAACAAGCAGTTCGATTTTGACGCTGTATGTGTTGCACTGTGCGTACAGGATATCCGTTGGTTGACAGAATGACATCACGTTTGGTTTCCTGTACTGTGTACTACACATGTAGAAATATATTCAGGAAATAATGTTTCAATAGTGAAGCATACCGTATACATCAAATGTTGTTGCATCATTTATAGACAGGGTGTCTAAATATCAACCAAATTGTATTGATTTTATTATGCATTGTTGCCTATAAATATCCATACACAAACTCACATTATGACAAAATCAAAACCTGCACACAAACACTACAAACTAGAATTGACAATGTTGTACAGTCAACAAGCCATTACAGCCCTTTGTAATGTATCTGCGGAAAGGAGTACCATTCTACTCTCAGTTAATCAGATAGTTGTGACTGATCAAGGCTTGATACAAAAAAAAAAACAGCGTAATGTAATGGACAGCTAAAAATGTCACTAAGATGGAGAATGATGTCAGACATTTGATGTCAGACAGTTGACAGTAAATAAAGCCAGACATTGATGTAGAAAGGAGATGGACGAAACTGATGTCAGACATTTAATGTAGACTAAAGATGACACTGATCAGGAGAATGATGTCAGACATTTAATGTAGACTAAAGATGACACTGAACAGGAGAATGATGTCAGACATTTGATGTCAGACAGTTGACAGTAAACACTAGAATAAATCCAGACATTGATGTAGACAGGAGATGGACGAAACTGATGTCAGACATTTAATGTCGACTAAAGATGACACTGAACAGGAGAATGATGTCAGATATTGGTGTAAACAAGAGATGATGCTGAAGATGAGAATGATGACAGACAGTTTCATGTCGATAGAAGATGATGATGATGAACATGAGAATGATGTCAGATTTTGACAGTAAACACTAGAATAAAGCCAGACATTGATGTAGACAGGAGATGAAACTGGGCATGAGAATGCATTCAGTATAGACTAAAGATGACACTGAACAAGAGAATGATGTCTGATATTGGTATAAACAGGAGATGATGCTGAAGATGAGAATGATGACAGACAGTTTCATGTCGACAGATGATGATGAACATAAGAAATGATGTCAGACATTTGATTTAGACAAAATGACACTGAACAGGAGAATGATGTCAGACATTTGTGTAAAAAGAAGATGATGCTGAAGACGAGAAGGATGACAGACAGTTTCATGTTTACAGAAGATGAACCATGAGAGTGATGTCAGACATTTGATGTAGACAGTAGATGATGTGGAACATGAGAATGACATCACTCAGACATCAATGCAGACAGAAGATGGCTGAACATGAGAATGATGTCAGACAATTGATGTAGACAGAAGATGACACTTAGATGAGAATGATGTCAGACATTTAATGTAGACAGAAGATGACACTTAGATGAGAATGGTGTCAGACAGTTGATGTAGACAGAAGATGACACTGAGCATGAGAATGATGTTAGACATTTGATGTAGACAGACGATGACACTTAGATGAGAATGATGTCGGATATTTAATGTAGACAGATGACACTGAACATGAGAATGATGTCAGACATTTGATGTAGACAGAAGATGACACTGAACATGAGAATGATGCCACACATTTGATGTAGACAGAAGATGACACTGTTCATAGATGTAATAATATCATATATATGTTTTTGTCATTATTTGAGTAGATTTAATTTATTATCGAAGCTAGGAATTATAAAAACCTGATTAAGTAGGGCTTCTGCTGATATAAGCCACTTGATTGCTCTCTGCCCTTATACCTTATTTGGTTTTCCTGCCAGGTATATATCCTTTTGACATTTCCAGAATTGTTATTCGAGAATGAATGTTTTGTAAACACTCTAATAAGATATTTCTTGCCATTCAATTGGAACAATGAAATGTATTTCTCTAGCTTTTGTTGTCCCGAATTCCTTTCAACAATCGAGATCAGAGATAATTTGAAATTCGAAACTTGCTCTGTTGAAAAGGTTTAGCTGAGTGATTAGCTAGGAGCATATATTTCTGTGAACAAAGAGGCCCATTATTAGGGTATTTTGAATGTTTGATGAAGTCATATGAAAAAAAAGCTGTTTTGCTCGAAGAAGAACTCATGAAATATACAATATGTTTATATATTTCTGACTTAGCAAATTCTTTTATCTTTGTTAGTTTCACACTTGCATATCAAAGAAAGATCTTCAGAGAAGTAAAGGACTGGCTAGAGATGCACTGGATATATACTGGCAAACTGTCAATGTTTTCATCAGCCTATGTACTATGTAGTGGCTGGCAGACAGTGATACAGTTGCAGGCTTCTGGCCAGTAATATCAGCAGTATGTAAACCTGAGTATGTCCATGTAACTATTATAAAATCATAGAAATTATCAAAGACCAGGAAAAAAAGTATGATTGGGAGACCCATTCAGACATTTTCACTATTATGTATTTTAAATGCCATTGATGATTTGTAAAAGATAAAAACACAAAAGAGTTTCCTACATTTTTGTTTGCATAATATAAATAAACTGTTGTTAGCAGAGTGAAAGGCCATTTCAGCTCATTTTCAGGAGTGACCAGGCAGTGTTTCCATAGTGATTCTTCCCAGATCTGTAGGTATTGATAGACACGACAGGTTATAGAATAGCAAAATCCTGGTGACATTGCAAAGTTAGCTTGTATATTTGTTGCCATGGCAATGGCTATGACAGTATTTGTATTTATGACCAGAGTGTCTCTCTCTCTCTCTATATATATATGGTGCATTTTGTTGATCGATGTGATGCACTTGTGTGTGAGATTGTGTACATGAATGCTTGTGAGAACCAGAGTGTAAGTAAAATACACTTCCTTCCACCCCATCAAGTAGATTGTTTTGAGAACATATACCTCACTACCTATGGCAGAGGTATGCTCTGTATTACAAAGCTAACAACAGATATGACTAAAGAGTATCCTAGCAGTTATTTATTATGTGGGATCTCTGCATTAATTGGGGTATAATTGTCCTTCAAAATTCACTTAACCTTGGAATGAATAACCTTCAGTACGAAAGTCAAAATTGATGACAGGAAAACTGAGTAGATTTTCTATGCAAATTATTTACCATTCTTTTTACATCAATTTTTCATCTGTCAAAAATCATAAAATATTAAAAAAAAGTAACTCAGTATTATAAATATAAGATAATGGGATTTTGTGAAAAAAGGGAGCTGTATAGTTCTTGTAGAATTTACAAAAGAGATGCATTGTATAGAAACCATAGAAGAAATTGTTTGTATAGTACAATATAATAATAGTTAAAGAGAAGTTTTAAAGTATTAACTTTGAAGGATGACAGTAATTTTGATCCGTCAGATTTGTAATTTTTCTGTGAAATGTTTGTATAGTTTAAGGAATATATGAACTAAACAGGCTAGTATGAATTTTTTGAATAAACATTACTTTTTCATTTGAAATTACCATCTATTAGAGCAGAAAAAAGTATTTGTTGTAAAATGTTTCAGGGCAGATGCAGTTATGCGTGTATATATAGACAGTTTATGTCATTACAGTAGAAACTTATCCAGTGTCCATATTTGGTATTGTGCTAGTGTTAAGCATGCCCTTTAAAAATGATCACTGTAGATTTGGCAGGAGGCCAAGTTTCCCATGAATTATTGTAATACATCATTCAATTCATAGACAGGAGCCATAAAAATGTTGATAAACATAATGATATGTTAAGTTTTGTATTTAAAGTTGTTGTGAAGAGCAAAGGTTTATGTGAAATTGTTTAATTTAGATTTTGTATGAAATTCCTTAATGATATGTACATGTATATGGTTTTGTAAGATTTAGAATGATGTTTGGATTTGTAAGAAGTTGTACAATGTCTGGTTTTGAAAGATTTTGTATGATTTTGTAAGAAGTTGTACAATGGTTGGATTTGTAAGAAGTTGTACAATGTTTGGATTTGTAAGAAGTTGTACAATGTTTGGATTTGTAAGAAGTTGTACAATGTTTGGATTTGTAAGAAGTTGTACAATGTTTGGATTTGTAAGAAGTTGTACAATGTTTGGATTTGTAAGAAGTTGTACAATGTTTGGATTTGTAAGAAGTTGTACAATGTTTGGATTTGTAAGAAGTTGTACAATGTTTGGATTTGTAAGAAGTTGTACAATGTTTGGATTTGTAAGATTTTATATGATTTTGTAAGAAGTTGTACAATGGTTGGATTTGTAAGAAGTTGTACAATGTTTGGATTTGTAAGAAGTTGTACAATGGTTGGATTTGTAAGATTTTATATGATTTTGTAAGAAGTTGTACAATGGTTGGATTTGTAAGAAGTTGTACAATGTTTGGATTTGAAAGAAGTTGCATGATGTTTAGATTTGTAAGTGGGAGTTTTAGGATGTTTTGCTCTTTATAAGGTTTTAGATAAATGTACCCAGCTTTGTATACATGTACCGTACAGAGCTAGAATATTTAATCCAGACACACCTGAAGGTTTTACTGTTGATGTAATTTTGAAACACAAATGTACTGATTAGAATGTGTATGCCTATCCATTAGAGCAATTTTTCTTACAATGATTTGTGTTCTATACCTTTCAGACCATTCTGTAGAAAACTTACTGATGTAAACAGGCAGTTCTGCATTATTAGTTATAATTATCGTTGTTGATGTGTAGAAGATGGTTGTAGAGTCCAGAATGATGTTTTAAAGTGTAGCAAAGATACTTTTCTCTACCATGGGCCAAAATATTTATT